GCGGGGGCCGCGGGGCCCGGATGGGGCGCGGGCGGGGAGCGGGGCCCGAGGCCGCCGCGCTGGCGGCGGGAAGGCCGCGGGTCGCGGGGCCGCGACGCGCTGCGGGTCCGCGCCGTGTCTCGGGGCCTTTCTCCGTCCGGTTTATGGCCTGGTCTGGCGTGTTTATTTTTCTCGTGTCTGCGCCGGCACAGCTTTTAAATCTCCCACGTTGTCTGGGGCTGGCGCGGCCTCGTTGACCGGCGGTGCCCGAGGGTCGGTGCCTGCGCGGTCGGTGCCGGCCGGGGTCGGTGCTGGCGGCGGGTCCGCGGTGCTGTGCCGGGCGCTCGGCGGTGCAGGAATCGCGGCTGAAGTGGCACCGCTGTTGTTGGTGCTCGTGGGGGCCGCTCGGAGCACAGCGCTGGCTCTGTGTTTGGGGTGGGAGGGACAGGACGGTCCCCGCTCCGGAGCACACGTGTGGGCCGGGGGAGGCTGGAGCTTCTGCCGAGAGAGCTGAGCCTGAGCTGGGCACAGGGCTGTGTCCGAGACCCGCCGCAGGTTTGCTGCGTGAGGATTTGCATTGGGATCCTGTGATCCACTTAATGAGGCATCTGTGGAAAACAAAAGAGGAAAGAGATGGGGAACGGTAGAGGTTCATTCATTGTATTAATTACTGTTGTTGTTGAAATTTGATCACTTTTTGAAATGCTCCATATCTCTGTTCATTTTACTCCCTGAATGTGGCTGGTGACTGCTGGTATTGCTCGGCTCTCACCTCTTTACTAGCTCCTGTTTCCCTGTATTCGTGTGTCAACCACTTTTCTTTCTAGAGCAGTGTGAACAGTTCTCTGACTTGTGTATCCCCCATTACAGCCGGGACAATCCATATGTTCCACAGGCTTTATTAAACCGTTAGGGCTGATGGGATTTCTTGGTTTCCTATTGACTCAAGGGTTATGTCAGTGTGTGTGATGGATAAGAAAGTCAAGAGTCCTGATGCTGTAAGTCTGTGCAGTATGAGATGTTACTGTGAGTGCCTTGGTTTTTGTTCTGAAACAGAGTAGCTCTGTGTATAGTGATCCTGATGCTCCTGGTGGTTTCCATGATTCAGAGCACTCAGGAGTCTGGAGTTACAGCTGTGATTGCAGTGGGCTCTCCCCAGGCTTGACTGGAATATGAACAGGAACATCTTAAGCTGGTGTGATTGTTAAATGTGTTGTACAATGAGTTTATAGCCCTGCTGTGGGTGGTTCTGCAGGACCAGATGAACATGGGATGCTGCTTTCCTGGGGGAGTTGTCTTGTGCAGTGCCACATTTGTGGGAACAGCAGCAGTAAGCACAGCCTGAATGGAAATGTGAATGTTGTGTGTAGCATCTTACTCAACTTAATAGTGTTTGTAGAACGTTGGTACTGAAATGAACTTAATGTGAAATGTGCTATATGCTCTGAATTAAAGCACTTTATTTTCTTTCAGGTTCTTACATTTCTGTCACTTTTCTTTTCCTGGAAAAAGCCCTCCTTGTCTTGACCTGAGACATGTAATTTTACTTTCAGAATCCATCTTTTTAGGCTGTTGTACCAGCCTACTTTCTCTCCTGGAGCTGTGGTCTCTGAGCCCCCTGAATTGATTACAGCCCAGTGTTATTGGCTGCCACACCGACTACACGTGAAGCCTGAGAAGCTGGTAGAGTTTTAGTTACAGAAAGCTCAAACTTGCTGTGTTTGCAGACTTCAAAAAGAAGTTTAGAGAAGCTGTTCTTTCTGCTCTTCCAAGTGCTTTAGAAGCAGCCAGGAAGGCAGCTGCAGGAGAGTCCTGCCAATTTAAGCATTTAGGGAGAGTGACAGAGCTCAGCAAATGAGAGGTGATAAATTTTGCCTTGTGCTGGAAACGATCAGGGCACTTCTCCTGTTTGATGTGCCATTCTGTGATCAGGCACCTGAAAGCTTCAAACCGCTGGCCTAAATGATCCTTTTGATTATACAACCTCATTATATGTAGGTGATGTATGCAAAAATAGATTTTAATCTTTTTCTGAGGGAATAGGGTGGCAAATAAACTGTGCAGAGAAGGCAGAGACATTCTTCACGTGCGTGGGTTTGCTGCCTTTGGTGTTCTTGTTTTGTTTGTTTTGTTTTTAATATTAGTAGCAGTGGCATGGTAAGTATAAAGGTATAATTTTCCTATCTCCCACTGCTTCCGTGGTCTCCGTGTAGGAGTACAACATCAAGTCTGGGTGTCTCATGAGACCCTCAGAGATGGATTTGCAGCTACTGGAAATCCTACTATTACTTTTGTGCTGGTGAACAAGTTGGATGCTGTCCCTTCCTCCTGTTACTCACTTGTCATCAAAGTGAAAGTATCAGCTGCTAATCCAAGGATGGATCAATGTGTGGGGCAGCTGTTGTCAGAAAGTGTCTGGAATCTGCAAGTTCTTATGACCACTTCTTCTCACCTCCTGCAAGTGCCCTGTCCCTAGGAAAGGAGTCATTCCCTCACAGCACAGTTTTTTGTCTCCAAAAAATGTCTTTTCTGCAGGTAGAAAAATTGCCATGGGCAACTTCTGGACAATCTCATGCTGTTTAGAGAAAGGGAGATAATAACTTTTTTTTTTAAATCTGTCTATCATAAACCTGTCCTTTTTAATGCAGAAGGTGACATAGTCCTGGTTGCATGAAGTTGTCCAGCTGTCTCTTCCCTGTGTAAGAACTCTGTGATTCTAACTGGCAGCATCTTCAACCCAGGAACAAAAACTCTGGAATCACAGAATCCCGGAATGGTTTGGGGTTGAAAGGGACCTTAAACCCACCAAGTTCCACCCCTGCCATGGGCAGGGACACCTTCCACTAGCCCAGGTTGCTCCAAGCCCCGTCCAACCTGGCCTTGGACACTTCCAGGGATGGGGCAGCCACAGCTGCTTTGGGCAACCTGTACCAGGGCCTCCCCACCCTCACAGGGGAGAATTCCTTCCCAATCTCCCATCCCTCCCTGCCCTCTGGCAGTGGGAAGCCATTGCCCTGTCACTAAATCCCCTCTTCCTCCTGTTTTTATGCCCCCCTCAAGGTACTGGGAGGCTGTAATGAGGTCACCCCAGAGCCTTCTCTTCTCCAGGTGAACCCCCCCAGCTCCCCCAGCCTGGCTGCAGAGCAGAGGGGCTCCAGCCCTTGGAGCATCTCCGTGGCCTCCTCTGGACTCTCTCCAGCAGCTCCATGTCTTTCTTGTGCTGAGAAAGGGGTTGTGCTGCTTGGAAGGTGTTGATGTGAAGCTCTGAGCAGCCTGGTAGCCTCCTCTCCCTGTCAGGGCTGACTGTTAACCTGGGAATGTTGGGGAAATCTCGGATCTGGCTGCAGATATTCAGTGTCTCAGCTGGAGGTTTCTGGTTGCCCTTGTTCGTATGGATCGAGCTGAGAGGCCGTTGGGGGCCCTGATCCCCCCCTGTGTTGGACCAGCAGTGGTTGGTAATTATGGCCAGCCTGTATCTGATTTCTGACAGCATCCTAATGATGATTAATTTTGTTCCTAGGAACTGGGTATAGTTCATCAGACTGGTGAAATGAGGTCATTCCTCTGAAGAATGCAGCTTATTTTTTGCCCTCGAACACTTGTATCTCTGAATGGCAACCTAAGCATTGACAAAAACACCTTGATGGTGTTGTTTTATGGACACAGATAGAAGCAACTAAGGAAAACATTTAAAACCTTTCTAGACAAATCTGATTGCTAAAAAATACGCAAAACTACTTTGCTGAAATATTAAAATTATGGCAGTTGAGATTTGTCAGACCAAAAAGACACTTAAGACAAAGTTTATGCCCAGTGTTTATAAAACAACAACAAAAAAAGAGCTTAAAATATGGTGTACTGGAAATCACTGATTTTGCATATGGAAGTAAAGTTTGTGAAAATGCAGTAATAGATTTTAGGAATGGCCACTTCTGGAACAGAGATATTTGTATTGACCAAAATGTCGTAATCTTAGGTTTAGTCAAGCTGAGGAGAACAAGTGTAGTGTCCTCATTCCAGGTTTGCAAAGGGAAAAGAATCAATGAGATGAGATCTGTTACGTCTGGAAAACCCCAATGGCTGGCAAACAAAGGGTTTGATTTACAAACAGAACTGACACATTAGTGTGGAAGGATCATATATGTGCAGCTTCTGTGGCTTAACACTCAGAGTTTCAGGGTAAAAGACTCTTCCTGTCTAAAGACAAACTTTTTTTTTTTTAAAGTGACCTTCATTAGCACAGGTCAGTACTGAGCTGGTTTTGTTCTTGTGTAAGGAGTCAGGAGAGTTAAACTGCCAACTGAATCAAATTGAATATTGAATTTAAAGTTTTCCTGTTTGCTGATTTAAAATATTGTGGTTGCAGGGCAGAGGAACCCAGATGAGTCAGAGAATAGTGACCTGATCGATGGCAGTGGGACAGTACAAAGAGCAATGGGGTAGCAGTAGTTTGGGGACAGGAATCTGTGACACCTCACTTTCTGCCTTTAAGTTTCCATGTGTACCAAAGCACCATGTTCACAGTTCAGGAAGGTGCCTTTTTCAGTGGAACACAGGATTCATCCTCCTGAAACACAGAGTTGCCACTCAACCTGAGCAAGGAAAGGTGAGCTCTCAATCATGGGCACTCTACTTCATACCTAATTTAGTTTTATTCATAAGAAATACTTTAACCTTATCCTTGCCCTCACCAGTGTACAGTGAAATATTCTTTGAAAGATTTAAACGTGTTGCCCAGATCTGAGGTGAAGCTTTGAAGTGTGTGACCTGTACGTACTGGAATAACCTCCTGTGTTCAACTTCGTGTTATTTCCCCCCATGCAGTGTATAAATGTTGTTCTTGAATTAAAGAGACAGTCTGGATTTTGTGATTTCCCCCTCCCCTCAGTTGGCTTTTGGTGTTTGGTCAAGATTTGAAGGAATTTTGAAGGAGTTTGAAGGAATATTGCATGAATGCAGTGTGAGTCAAATAGCAGCGGGGTTTGCACTGCACTGTCATTGCCCTGTGGTCTGTCTGGGTCTTGGAGAGGTCTGTGCTATGTGCAGAGCTACTGGGGACAGGAAAGGAGTTTGTGTAAAGAATAAAAGGGGTTTTCTTGGAGATTATGGGGAAAGGATCTGTGACGTAAAGCAGAGACATCTGGGCTAAGAAATAGAGACAGATGTGTTCTGGCTGTGGAGCACTTGGAAACTTCCTTTTTCTTGGGACGCACATAGGCCCAGGGGAAGGTTTTCTGCTGGTGCAGCTCCTCAGGTGAAACCAATTCTGTTCCTTACAGTGATTTCAGAGAAGAAAATGTTGTTTTTTTTCCCCCAGGGTCTGTCCCTTCTCTGTCTTGATTAAACTCTTGCATCTCTATCCTGTCCTGAGAGCTGGCTGCAGAGCAAGTTTTTGCATGGCAATACTGTGTTGGATCGTTCTTGAAAACTTTTCCTGAAACAGTTTAAACTTGTGGAGGGTCTGGAGACCCTTCAGACCCTTCTGTGTGTGTGGCACTGGTTTTGGCATGTGTTCAAACCTGGACATCTCAGCAGCTCTGCAGTTGTCTTCTGCAGATGTGTGGATTGGTTTGGCACTTGCCTGGGTGTTGTAGGGCCCTTTTTTGTTCTGTTTCAGGTGAGGTCTCCAAGAAAGTGCTCAACAGCTTCAGATTGAGAGCCAGAGCAGTGTCTAAGATAACCAAATTTGTTGTTTGCCTCTGAGTCAGCCATGGCTGCCGGGGGAGGCATGTCAACAAATATCTGTGTGCTGGAGAAACAGGAGGAGGGCTCTTCTTTATATAGCCCTGAGGTTCTACTTGAAGCACCCCATGGAGATTCTCAAATACACAAGGCAGAGCTCAAGAACAGACCCATGAGACTGAAGTCTGAGTTCATAAAGCAGCTCATGGGCAGGACTCTACAGCATCACTGGTTTCAGGGTCCCTGTTCAATCACCACTAACTCCAACAAGGAGATTTCACCAGTTCAGGGGCTCTGTCAGACACTGTCTCCTGAAGCCCTTCCTGCACAGCCTGTCCTGGGTGATGCTGCCTGGCACTTCAGTGCAGAGAAAGGCTGCTCTTGGATCAGTAACTGCATCAGCAGCCTGTGCTCATTGTGGCCCATTCCCAGTGCTCCAGTGAAGGTGCCACAATTTCCCATCTTAAGTTCTGCAGTAGCTGAAATGCTCACATCATCAACCACCCCACCCAGAGCACTGGGTCCAGCTCTGGGGCTCCCAACACAAGAAAGACATGGACCTGTTGGAGCAAGTCCAGAGGAGGCCACGGAGATGCTCCAAGGGCTGGAGCCCCTCAGCTCTGGAGCCAGGCTGGGAGAGCTGGGGGGGTTCACCTGGAGAAGAGAAGGCTCCAGGGAGACTGAGAGCCCCTTGCAGGGCCTAAAGGGGCTCCAGGAGAGCTGGAGAGGGACTTGGGACAAGGGCCTGGAGGGACAGGACAAGGGGGAATGGTGTCCCTGCCCATGGAAGAGGGTGGAACAAGATGACCTTTAGGGTCCTTTCCCACCCAAACCGTTCTGGGATTCCATGAGCATCTGTTAAGGTATCTACATTCAAGTTTGTGATCCCAGAAAGGGTCTGTGAACAAGGTGAAGATAGACAAAACCTCTTGCCTGATGTGAAAGACAGTTCTCCTTACCAGTGTTCATGTTTCACATATCTCCTCAAATCTGTACAGGTCTTCCTTCTTAGCAAACATCTTGCAGTGAAAGCATTAATAGCTCTGATTCCTAGAATTCTGTATGAAGATAGAGTATTATTTGGAAAAGACTTTTGTTGGTCTGTTGCCAGAACCATTAAACCTTCTGGGATCTGGTGTGCTCTTGTGAGAAGGTGATTGTCACGGTCAGAGCAACATTTCTGAAAATAATGCCATGGAGAACGTTTCAGTCCAGTCCTGGAAGTGCCAGCCTGGCTGTGGGTGCCTGGGCATTGTTTGGCAGAGGTGGTGAAGTGTTGGGCTGTGGAGATTCGGGCACCTGCACAGTGGAGGGAGGATTCAGGCACAGCACATGTGATTCCTTTTGATTGCTCTATGCTCCCTTGGCATCATAAGTTCGAGGGTGTCTTACTCACAGAAGAAAGTGGCTCTGCCTTTTCAAAGAAGCTTCTGCAAAGTTTGGTTATTTAAAAAAAAATTGGCATTTTGGGAACTGCAGTGCAACTGAATGTAGTCTTAAAGTTTCGGGTTTTTGGGACATAGAATTGAAGGCCTGTTTTGGGAAGGCTGCAAAGTACCAGTCTTGTTACAGGCATCCTTCCCATCTTATACCCCCTTTCTGGAATTCTTTTCAGTGTTCAAAGGTTACAGTTCTTCAGGGGCTGTTTTTGTTTTTGCTGCCATGAGAGCTGTTCCCCTGTTGAGGATACACCTGAAGCAGGTGGGCAGTGGCACTGTGAGCTGCAGGGTGTGCCTGGTGAGGGGGTGTCCTTGAGCTCTGGCAGACTTTGGGCTGTGAGCACCTCCCTGGAGAGCCTGTTCCAGAACCTTTTCCTAATATCCAACCTAAACCTCCCCTGACACATTGAGAAGACCCCAGATTAAATATCAGCCCCTCCCGAGGGTACCTTTGTCTGGGGTCCCTCCCCAGGGGCAGAACAGCTCGAGCTGTTGTGTGTCCCTGCACCACAAAGGAACCAGAGTCTGGGACTGTGCTCTGGGAACCCGGGGGCTGAGCTGGTGAGGGGAACTGGTCTGACTGGAGGAGTTTGGGGTGTGGGGGTCATGTGGGGCCCTTATCAGATCACTGGAGCTGCTGCTGTGAAGGGGCTTCGGTCCCAGCAGTGACAGTTTGGGGTGGTGCCAGTGGGACTCCCCCAGTGGCATCAGACTGGTCAGATGGGGGAGTTTCCTTAACACCCCACCACAGAGGAAGTGGTTTCCCATTAACTTCCAGGATGGTTGGACAGTGTTAATCTTGCAACAGATTGTGTAAGTGCCTGGTGAAAGTTTAGGAAGTAAGAAGCATCTTCTCTCTCCGTGCTCTGCTCCTTTTCCTCTTCACTGTGCCTTTGTCACTCCCTCGTGCTTCATTCCTGGTATCCCCAGGGAACGTTTCCCAGGCCTCTCTGCAAGGACTTCCTGTCATTTTTTCCAAATGTCTGAAACAAAGCAGGTGGAAGTTTCCTTCCCACTTCTAAATGCCTCTGAATCAGCACTGCCCTGGGCATGCCTCGTGTGTCCCGGGAGGTGCAGACAGCGAGTATTGCAGGCAGTGAGGTTGGAGGCTGTGGGACAATGATGGAAAGTCAACAGCTCCTGCCAAACTCCTGTCAATTCTGCTTAATGCCAGATAACAGCTTGGTAACTTGCCATCATGGTGTGCTGGGACCGTTTCTGTGCTTGGTTTGTGACTGTGGTGTCTCCTTTTTAGGCAGCAGATACACCTTGGGGGTTAAAAAAACCCCCAAAACCCCAAACTCTTTTCCTTAAGTTTCTGGTTTTGGAAATATATATAAATTTCTTAATCTTGGCAGCAGGAGGATTTTTATTAATATGCTGGGTAAATTAGGTTGCAGTGAAGGAAATTTGAACTTTTGTCTCATAAAGATGGAAAAATATCAACGTTTCTTCTTTTTGTATCATACAACTTCCAGACTCATCAACAGATTGGTGTCTTGTGCTAGTAGGGCTTGAATTTTGTAGAGGACAAAGGCAAGCAAAGTTGCCTTCCATTAAGATAATTTAAAAAATGTTGTGTGTATGTGGTTTTGTAGCTCAGATACAGTGAACAGCGACTGTTCAGCTCACTGAGTGTTGTTCAGCAGAACAGGAAACTTCTCTGAGATTGTGCTCAGCCAGTCCTGACAGAGCTGGGAGAGAAAGTGTATTTAATGACAGAATTTTGCAGCACAACTGAGGCAACCTGGCAGCTTAAAAATCATTGGATGTGGGGCATCTCTTCCCCTGATTTCAGCTTTGCTGTGCTCCCCCTGCTCTCCAGTCCTCTGGCATTAACTGGTGCTTATCTCGCTGCAAGGGAAGCAGATTAAAATTGCTGACACAACAAAAAGGGCTTCCCTCCTGTGTAGTTTTCCATTGCTTTCCTGGTACACATTGGTTATCCTGTGGGCAGAGGGTGCTGGGGCAGGCTTGAGTTGACACTTCAAACAGAAATGGGGGTTAGAACCTGATCTGTGGGCGAGGGGGAGCAAGACCTCTCCTACTCTAAGCTACCAGCTCTTAATGCTTTAACATGTATGAAAAAGGTAAAGATTGAGGTCAAATCTGTGCTGTGTTAAATAAGTTTTCTCATGGTTTGTTCTATAATGGTGTGCTCGGGGATTGCCACTTAAAAAAATCTGACTTTTGCAAGAAGAGAGTATGAAATAAACGTCAGACAGGACTTAACAGCAGCTACTGGTGAAGGACCTGAACTCCCTTTGTGCAGGGAATGTTCCCTTTGTAGGCTGAGGATTTCTACCTGCTGCTCCTGACTTCTTCCATTGCTCAGCTTCTGGTTGTCAGTGTGGTTCTGTCTGTGGAAGGGCTCGTCCTTTAGATCTGATCCTGTTGCAGGAACAGGGTTTAGATATCCTGATTTTGACTATTTCAAAGTGGTCGAAGCGCTTTAAAATCTCTGATTCTGTCAGGCCATGAGCAGTTTGGATCTGGTGTGAGTTTGAGTTGTAGGTGTTCTCTGCACCTGTAATGTCAGGATTCGGTCCCTGATGGCTGACCAAGGTGGAGAGTACCTTTCTGTGATGGAATTTCTGGATGTTTTCTCAAGGCTTTCTTTGAAAAGGTGCAGAAATAGAAACTCTGTCAAATACTCAATATGCCCCAAAGTCAGTGAGCAGCACAGACTCACAGGTTACATACACACAGTTAAGCAGCACCAAACACAGCACTGAACAGGTGCAGGACAAGCAACGGGTGCAGGGGAAAACATACAGAAAATAAATAGTCCCCACTTGAGACGCTGAACTGGGTCAGTAGATCTGGCTGCTTCCCTCTCTGTCTGGAAGAGTTCTGGGTGTAAGGTTGGGATTCAGGTCGAGGTGGCAGTTTGGTTCTGGCTGGTCAAGTGTTTGGACATGGAGAACCTGATTTTTGCCTTAGCTGTTGGGAATACTTTGGTTTACAGGAACGTCTGCAAAATCTGTCTTGATGCTTTTTGTTACTGTAAAAGAAAATATCTTGATGAGCTCTTTGATGGTACATAGTTCTGTAAAATGCTGTGCTTGTGAGTCTGAAAGAACGAATTGTTCTGAAATTTTCAACAAATGATGTTTTGTGAGCAGAAAAAATGCATTGCTGAAGCAGTGGCTTGTTCTCAGTTTTTAAAATAAACATTCAGACTTATTTCAGGTGGAGGAAGTTTGGCTTATCGAAATGAGAAGATCTAGAACTCACTGGGTTTTTTTTCCTCTTTGCAGATACATTATAAAATGTCTAATGGTTATGAAGATCACATGGCTGAAGATTGCAGGGATGATATTGGTAGGACAAATTTAATTGTGAACTACCTCCCTCAGAACATGACACAGGATGAGCTACGGAGTCTGTTCAGCAGCATCGGCGAAGTGGAATCTGCAAAACTTATTCGGGACAAAGTTGCAGGTAAGATCCAGTGGATCAGAAATTGGCACTTTGGGGTAGACTGCTCAAGCAAATACTTGATTGAATGCACCTTAATGTAGAAATATTGTATATTCGTGCCTGTGTGTAATCAAACAATTGACAGCTATGCCTGGAACTCTGGTAATGCCGGGACTAGATAGTGGGTATTAGGAGGATAGAATGCTCAAGGCTAAACTAATGACTATGGTGTACATGGCTAAGAATTCCAAGAAGTACAGTTCCCAGATTTGAACATCAATAGGCATGTCTAAAACTAGCTTGGATTTAGTCACCAGCTGATTTATTCTTCCTAGAGTCTGAGTGGTTTTGACTCCACCAGAGCTCTGAATATACAAACAAATGTTTTGCTCTGATTTTGATCAGTAAAATAAAGGTGTGGCGAGTGTCTGAAGTGGCCTTATCGCTCTTGAGGAATTTAACTTGTGAGTTCCTTTACATAGGATTGGTAGTAGTAGCTTTAAAATATGAGAGGAATGAGCTGTTCAGATTTGTGAAACTTTGGTTTCATTGAAGCCACACAAGTGCTGACAGAGCAGCTGGTTCCATGAGCCATATCTGTTTAGTTGCAGGAGCTTTCAGCTGCTCTGTGAAGAGGTTTTGGTCCTTGTACTGTTAAAATACTTCATTTACAGGTTTTGGTTATTTTTGTTCAGAATTTGCAGAATCTTGGATTTTGTGAGAGAGCATGGTTGTTTCCTGGGGGGGGAAAAAATATGTGTGCTGTTAACTAGCTGTGCACATGTGTGTGTGTTCCCAACCTGCAGCTGAATGCTCGTGGAATTCTCTGCTGCACATGCTCAGCCTTGTATTTCAGACTCCAGCAATACTGATCATTATCTAATCCATAGGGGAACAAGCCTGAGACTGCTCCACTGGCTGGGAAAGCTGCAGGAGAGCTCATGGAATGCACGAGAGTTCTTTGTACTCTTGTGTCTATAGTACTTTATTTTATATGCTTGAGAATAGACATGAGAACTGAGTAATTAAAGCCTTTAGGATTTCCTTTCAGAGCAGCCTCTCCAATTTCCATGTCTCTGGTTTTCCTGATATCTTTCAGCTGAAGTTTCACACGATGCCTGTCTGTCTAAATGTGTACTTATGAGATGTATATGTTCAGTCATGATCAAATAGTTACAAAAATACCGATTTCTTTCAACTTTTTGGCAGCTGAGCGTTCAGCCCAGATGTTGTTGTACACCTCGAGGTGCTCAGAAGTTGAGGCTTACTCTGAAGGCTGGTTTTGCAAGGAATAAGACCCCTTGATTAATGATAGCAAACCATAGCTGACCCACACCTCAGACTGTCAAATAAGCACAAAATCACCTGCGTGGGAGGGAAGGATTTTTTTGGTGGGAAGCAAGAGACTCATCACTGCCTGAAGCTGAGGCTCTTCCTGCACACTGCTCCCTGTGCTTCAAACACTGCTAAAGTCTGGTTAACTTTAACTTGGAACTTGACAGTGCTGGCTAGTTTGAAGTCCAAACCACACACTTTTGTGCTTCAGGATGTCTTTAACCTGAAGAATCAAAAGTAAAAGTGCTGTTAGTGTTGCATGGAGTCTTTGGGTGCCTGTGGATAGAACACTGGCTTTTCTTGTGAGTGGCTGCAGCTGTTGGATTCTGCAGTGGTCACACCACTGAATTTTGTTGCTACTCAATTTTTCATTCACTTGCAGCACTGTTAGGAGCAGTTCCCAGGAATTCCAGTTCCCTGGAATATCAGTACCTAAGAATTGGCTTTTTAGGAACCCTCTAAACCTTTTTTCTTCCTTTTGCTTTTCTCTCTGCCTTTTCATGTTTGCATTAAATGTCTCTGTTCTCAAACTCTGCGTTAAACAGACGGGTGTGTGGCTGCCCCTGAACAGAACAGTCCTGTGGCAGAATTCTGCTTTCCTTGTGCCTCCACTTGCATTTCCCTGGCCCTGTGGCAGACAGCAGGAAACAGGAGCTGCAGAAAAACCTGTTCAGCTCCCTGACCTTGGTTTCTGGTCAGATAAGTCATAGTATTGGCATGTGAGGCATAGCGGGGTTGAGTGGCCTGGACAGGAGGGAGGTAACCTTTGCTTTTGTTGGAATGAGACTTTTTGGATCAGTTCAGTTCTTTTCAATGAAGTCACAGCTTTGGTGCCTCACTGAAGTTCTAATAATCAAGTATTTTGTCTTTGGAGTTCCCTTTATTGTCTGTATTTGCAGAGTTAAAATCAATGTTTGGTTGATAACGCTTACTTTTTGCGAAACATTCACTGATATGTAAATTTTTTCTCAATTCATTGTCTATTAATGAAACATGTGAGGCAGAAAATGTCTTCTGCCTGGAATGCAGTTTTTAATGACTTATTGAACTGGCCTGAGCTTTCTGGAGACTGATTACTGGATTCAAGAATTGATTTGGAAGCCAAAGTTTGGGTTTGTTTGAGCAAAGGACATTATGATCATTATATACGTTAATGGGTTTTGCTTCAAATGCAGCACAGTATTGAACAATCTGTGTTCCATGAGTTAGACTGTGGTTATAAAATGTACAGAAACTCTTTGAAGCCACCAGACTGCTCATCCTTTATCTCATTATTGATGGGCTTTAGGGAAGCAGCAAACCATAGTGTCAGTTCACATTCCTAGCAGGAATTTTCAGCTTTGTGTACACATGGGTTGTCACCGTTGGTGAAAGTGTGACTGAGTTTGGGTTGTTCTTTGAGATGTGACAGCTTCTTTTTCTATTTGGTTTTTTTTTTTTCAGTAACTGTACAGAGAAGCTTGTGCACAGTAAATGAGTGTTAGCAGGGTGCAGGGCTCCTCCAGCTTTTCCTGGTCAGACTGGAGGTGTAGAGGGCTGGGCTCTGCATTCCCAGTTGGTGTATTGCATTCCTCAGCACTTCCAGACACGGCTTTCCTTGACTTGTGATGAGTGATCAGTCCTTGGGGTCAGTGGGCAGATACTGGATTGTTGCTCTGCTGCTCACTGCACTTGTGTTCATGGGGAGCATGTCTTGGACATCCAGGATTTTCCTAAGAGAACTATAGAATTTGTTGGATACTGTCCTTTCTGTTGGATCTTAATCGAGCACCAGCCGTACCTGGGGGCTTTGAACCCTGGGGAAATGTTGTTAAGGCTAATTCCCACTTCCCAGTACGGTGTGCACAGTGTCCAGTCTGAGATGGAGCTTTTCACTGTTGCATCTCCTGGCCTGTCGTGGTGATTGCTGAGATCTGTGAGTAGACACTGACCCGATTCCATCAACGAAATCCTCCTTTCCTGTGGCTCTGGCTCATGAGTGTGAGAGCAAGGAGAAGTTTGGGGTTGGTGCAGTCAGCTTGCACTGATCAGACTGTATCCCTGCATCACTGACTGCAGACACAGTGGGGCCAGGCTTGTGCTCTGCTCTGGTTCCCTCTCCAGTGGTGTGTATGGTGTTAAATGTCCCCTTCCTTGGAGCAACTACCAGAGAGGACTCAGCAGAAGAAATACATCCTGTCCTGTATTTTGCATTGGGGGTGCTTGACTTTGCTGCAACATCCAGGTTATGGGGTCTGGGTTTCCAGACAGTGTGCTGTGCTGGACTCTTCTTACAGGTGAACGTTTTTAAAACATTTCTCCTCCTTCAGTACCTGTTAACACCAAAATCCAGGCCTCTGGAGACTCTAGGCTTGCTGAATTTTGCCCAGCATGAATGCTGGTGGCTCGTTGTGTCAGGATGTCTGATTGTGCACTGCATGGATCAATACCTCTAAATTTTCTGAGGGAGCACAGTCATCTTTAGCCTGCTGTCCATGCAGCTGGACATACACAGGCTGTTAGTCCTTCTGGACAAAATGCTGAAACTGAAACTTAATCTGTTATGAGTGTTTTAGTTTCTCTGTCTTCCCCTTACCCCGATAAAGTGTTGGTATTTTCAAACCTGACTGTCCTAAACTTCTGAAAAGCTTGGGTTAAACACCTGCTCTTTGTGGAACTATTCAAAAATAAAAAGCTGCCAAGCTCATATGTGAAGTCATCATAGGCTAATATTAAAAATAATGTTCCTGCTTATTGGTGTGATGTGAGCTGTGGGATGGCTCCTCCTGTGATGCTCTGTGTGACTGTCCTTGGAGTGCAGTGAAGAGAGTTCAGCAAAAACAGCATGAGGCTGTGTTGGGGGAGGTCTGGGTTGGATCTCAGGAAAAGGTTCTTCCCCCAGAGGGTGCTGGGGCAGTGGGCACGGCCCCAAGGCTGCCAGAGCTCCAGGAGTGTTTGGAAAACACTCTGAGAGACAGGGTGGGATTGTTGGGGCTGTGCTTTGCAGGGCCAGGAGTTGGACTCGATGATCCTCGTGAGTCCTTTCCAACTCAGGATGTTCTAGGATTCTATTCTAGGGTTCTATGAACCTTTTTCCCCATGTGTTTATGGTCCCAGACCCCTGTGGGGTTTATTGCTCCTGACACCCATAGCCCTGCTCTAGGTCTGTGGTGACAGGTTTCCTGTGCACACCTCTCTGTGTGAGGGTTCCTTCTGATGACAATTGGTTTTGTTAGGGAGGCATCCAAATTCTGAGGATTCCTGTTCCCTCCCTCCCACCTTCTGTACTGCCTGAGCAGGGAATGTTATCCCTGGGACACTCGTGACAAAATACTCGTGACTCTGTACTCTAGGAAATGTGGGATATGATCCTTCAGACTGTGCTGGAGGCTCTGTCTGTACCTGTCAGCTCCCAAAACACGGCCCCCTCTGTGCAGAGGTTGGAGGAGACGTGGGCACTCTGCACTGCCCGTGTTTGCTGCTGTCAGGGAGCACTGATGGAGCTCACTGAGGCCAAACCCCGGGATCAGCAGCTGCCAGGGACAAAGTGTTTGCTCCACTGCTGCTGAAAAACGTGGAACAGAAAGGACATTTTGGGGTGACTTGTTAAGGTTGTGTGCAGAAACCTGCATCCATCTCAATGCTCACTGCAGGTGTGCCTGGGGCATGTTGCTGACAGGACCAAAAAGAAGTCACTTCTTTTTGCA